TTTCACCTGAACATCGTGCTTTCATATAACATACACACGTACTGGCTTTTCTTGAAGTAAATAACTCGTCACGTGACTTTTCAATTGACAGCAACTTAAAGCAGACTTTGAACATGAAAGCATGTCTCGGCATTTTATATAACACGCATTTGAAATTCAGGGTATATTTATATTTGTATAGGCATATTTGGTTCATTTTTTGTTCCTAGAGATTAGGCAACTAATGGCAAAAGATTAGGCCGGTGGCAGTGTAACTCGTCCAATGGCGATAGGGGAAATATGACTGCCAAGGCCTAGTGGTGAGAGTAAGATCGAGTCAATGAGACTTCCAAAAAGGAACAATTTTTTTTCTTAAACACGACAACTCGACCAAGGTACTATATTTTCTGTGATGCAAAGTAATATGCAACTGAACTTACATACGAGTTAGCTTCCTCGAAACGGTATGCATCAAATGACCTGTGCAGAGATGTATTATTCCTTTTTGAAGATCATTTCCCCGCGCCTGAAAATTAACAATCCTCCAGCTTCGATCAAAATACTGCTCCAGGTTCTCATCAAAAAGACCTCTCAGGCAACTATGGAGGCTTGTCCAACTCAAGTCTATTTCCAGGTGAGCTGGATTTGCAGGTCTTCCACGATGAAGTTTCATGAAATCACGGCGAAAGTTCATTAAGAAGTTGGTGAGCGTTGGGACTGCATGGCTACTAGGAAACATTTCGGCAACAGCTTTTCCCAGTAATTACTTGAAAATGTGTATGTTATCTAAGTCGCTTTGATGGGAAGGCATAAAAGATATAACGAACAACCTACCCTAAATTAAATTATATCACCTGTAATAGTTAAGAAGCATTTGTATTTTGCAATGACCCGTGGCCCACAATGCTGATGACGAATATGCGGGACAAATATTCTGCAACACACAGCTACTGTTTAATTTTCAGAGGACTACTGAACAGGCCTGGGTTGTTCAAAAGGTGGATAACGCTATCCTCCGGATACATCACTGTCCATTGGATAGCAGGGTTTGTTTTGTTAACATTTATCCACTGGATAGTGATTTATCCTGTGGATAGCG